TTGGAAAGCGCAAGGAGCACAGGCCACGTGCATGCATCGCGCACCTCGAACCCCTGCGCCAGGGCTTCGCTTCGCTTCGCCTCGCTCTCCCTCTCACCTTTTTTGTGAGCTCCAAAGAGAGCTCGCAGGCTGGGATGGTGTCTGTGGCCAGCACGACGGCATCGGCATGTCCGCCTATGCTCTCGATGGCCTTCTTGACCGTCTCGGGTCGCTTGACGTCGACATCCTTTGCATTCAAAATCTCATCGGGCGGGTACTTGAGATCCTTGCACAGTTCCAAAGGAGCATCTCGAGCATCAACCACGATGGTGTGCAGTCCGAGACACTTTGCGAATTGGACGCCCAAGTGGCCCAGCGCTCCGGCTCCTACGATTGCGATCCTCTGCCCCGCTTTCAAATCGCATGCTCGGATTGCTGCGAAGATGGTCGCGCCGGCACAGAACAGAGGCGCGGCCGCTTCGAAGGAGACTTCGTCGGGCAGGCGAACGACTGTGCGAGAGGCGCAAGGTGGAGGAAGGTGGTGAGGGTCGTGCAATATGGCGGGTCAGCGATGCGCAAGAGTGGTGCGGAGCTTGCTTGCTTGCTTGCTTGACTCGGGCGCCTCTGTCTTCAAATCCTGACTTTGCTCACCGCTGCGGTAGTCTGCTGCCATGTACTCTGCCAGGCCGCCATTGGCCGTCACACCGCACATGTCTTGATCTGTTTACGAATATGTGGGCAAGAGGTTAGTCACACAGGCGAGATCGAGTGAGTCACCGAGCAGACGGAGAGTTCCTCTGGGCCAAAGGTGTGCAAAGACGCCGCTGTTGATGCCAACACACACACGCACACACGCGCGCACGCACACGCACGCACACAGCACCAAGCGCCAAGCATCCAACAACTCAGACCACTCACTCTCGCAGTACCTCGGCTTGCCCGCTTTGCAGTCTTCGCACTCGCCGCAGAAATCCTTGAAAGCGAGCGAGCCAACGCGATCACCGATCTTGAGCGGACCTGCACCTCCAGCACCGGGACCATCCGCAAAGTTCTTGGCTGCTCTTTCTCCGATCGCTGCCACGATTCCCGTTGGC